AGAAGGGCGAGGGAGGGAGCTGCGGGCCGGGCGGGGACCCTCCTGGCCTTCTCTGGCTGCGCCTGGGGCAGCCGCCAGAGCAGGAAGCGGGGGGGCAAAACTGATACGATCAGCCAAAGGAAAAAAAAATAGAAAACAACTCACCGCACCAGCCAGAAAGCGCCTGGACACCTCACCTCTCTTTATTGCCCATTTCCCATCCGAGCTCCACAACCTGGGGCCAATGCAGCCAACGGCGCCTTCGGGAAGCGGCCTCACCTCTCCGGGCCCGGCTGGCAGACGGTGCAGGGTGAGGTCCCCGGAGGACACAGCCGGCGTCGGCGCGGCCCGGCGCAGCTCCCGCTGCTGCTCAGCATCTCGCCTCACACGCACCTCGCCCCGAGCATCATCCTTGCCCCAAAACTCCCGTCCCCTGGAGCAGCTGCACCGCCACCGCCCCCAGCGCTCAGGGCCACAGAGAGTTCTTCTGCTCGAGAGGAGGAGGAAAGCAGAAGAACAGAAAAAGGCCCGAACCCAACCTTCAGGGCTGACCAAAATTTAAGTTCTTCGGCTTGAGAGGAGGAGGAAAACAGAAAGAAAAGAAAAATCCCCAAACCCAAACATATAAGGATCCTTAGTGCTGGAGGACAATCTCTTCTCTCCCAAAGCTGCTGAAGAAGCCCTCAGTGCCATCGGGGCCGTGAGGCAGGTGAAGAACCCCATCCCACAGAGCGGGGGGCTCAGGTACTCTCTTTGCTGCCAGCAGATTGCCAGGAGGAGGTTTGGCATCAGGAGAGGGACTGCTCTGCCAGGGTGCCCAGGCATCCCCCCCAGCCCCCCAGCTGGGCTCTCGCTGCTGGAGCGGAGGCCATAGCAGCTGCCCATGCTCAAGCCTGTCCCCAGTGGAGGGAAGACTTTGCTGGTGAGCAGTGATCCGGTGAAGGTGTTGTCGAAGTCGTTGGGCTTGAAGTCACCACCAGGCCAGGCAGGTGCTGAGGGTTCCTTGTTCAGGAGGAGGGGCAGTGATGCCAGGGCACCATCTGACTCTGGAGAGCTGCAGAACAGGGAGTCCCCGAGGCCATAGGGGAAGGTCGTGGCTGCCATCTGCACTTTCCAACTTGGCTGGTCCACCAGCTCCTCCACCATCTCCCTCTCCACCCCAGGTTTCTTCTTAGAGCCCTTCCCACAGAGCCGGACCACCCTGATGCTCTCGCTGCCCGGGCAGCTCTGGTGGCCGAGGTCCTCAAAGGCCCTGCGGGCACTCTCCAGGCTCTCATACTCCACCAGCGCGCAGCACTTGCTCAGCAGCTCAGGGAAGCGCGATGTGTATTTCCGCACATCCGAGGGCAGCTTGCGGCCCGGCCGCAGGATTCGGATGGAGACGATGGCACCAAAGGGGCTGAACATCCTTGTGATGGTCTCAAGGAAATTCTTCTGGAGTGGTGGCAGCACGTCCTGCTTCTGGGGCAGCAGCTCCCAGGCCAGCAGCAATTTGCTGGGGGGGATGCTCAGCAGGGACTCGGGGACGGGGACCCGCCGTCTCACTTTAGTGCCCTCCTCATTCACCTCCAGCAGCTCTGAGAACTGCAGGGCATAGAGCGTGAGCCGCCAGTCACGCGTCAAGTATTTCACCTGGGGGAGAGAGGGCCATTGCAACCCTGTGAGTCTCCCGGGGCAGGGGCCACCCTAAATCCATCATCCAGCCAGGCTGCAACCCCATCAACCACAAGTCATGGCAAGGCAATAATGCCCTTCCCTGTGAGCAGGGAAGACCCTCAGGTCTGCAGGAGAAGGTCCCCAGTGCCCCCTGGACTGTGGCAACAAGCTGCAGTTTTGCCATACATCAAACCACGAGTGCTTCCCTGTGTTTTTTTGGTCAAGGGGTGATCTCTCCCAGATCACCCAGGGTGATCTCTCCTGGGTGAGCATGGGCCCTGGGCTGTTCACCACTTCCCCAACCTCTCCCTGGCTGGAGAGCTGCTGCAGCATATCGTGCGGTTCACTGGGACACAGCCTGAGCAGAGCCTGGATCTCCCTGTACACCCCAGAAACAGCAAGAGCACACCCACACATCCTCCCCATGAAGGCCACTTCCCACCCCAGCTGGCTGGCACCATGGGCTGCTTACCTTCTTGAAGGAGGTCAGCAGTTTGATGCTGACAAAGCCCATCTTGTTCTTCTGGACATGTTTCAGGAGGAAAGCATCTTTGGCCAGGTTCTCATCAGAGAGGTAGAACTCCACCTGGGACACAATCCTCCGGACCAACTGCGAGTCAGGGATGGAGTAGTTGCCATCCAAGAGATCAGACCCCAAAGCATCACTTGTGTCGCAGAAGCTCCTGGCAGAGCAGCAGGGACACAAGGGTGAGCTGGTGGCCTTTGGGATATGCAGCACTGCCCGGTCCTGGCCACAACAGTGCAGACGGCAGAGACACCAGGGAGACCCAGGGCTATCAGCTTTGCCCTGACTATGGGGAGCAACACCAGCCTGCATGCTGCAAGCCTCCTGGTGCTTGGATTACCAGTCCTAGACCATGAAACCAAACCCATCCCAACCAAGGGACACGTTCCCTTGGGGACAAACAAAAGGCAAGACCCAGGCTCAGCCCTCATGGACATCCCAGCAGCCACATACCCATTGAAGCTTTTGAAGTCCTTCTGGCTGAGCAGGGCAAACGAGCGGCTCCGCGGCGAAAGGACATGCAGTGCTGGGAAGGCATTTCTTTGCACTGGCAGAGGAGTGCTGCAGCCGGGCTGGGAACCAAGCCCCACGGCCACCCCAGAGCTACGTGATGACATCGTCCTTCATCTGGGACATTACACAGGAGGACAGTGCTGGGATACTTCCTGACTGTGGCCAGTCCCAGGGCAGAGCCCTGCTCTGGACTGCAGCCCCCAACCCCAGCCCAGGGACAGGGGAGCAGAAGCAGCTCCTTGCTGTGCCCTTACCTGCTTGGCAACGCTAGGAAGGGTAGAAAGTCCCAGCACTACATCCTAGAGACCCGCAGGCAGCAGGCCCCAACCCTCACCCCCGTCAAACTAAGGCTCCTGAAAGATAAAGGGAAAAGAAAGGAAGAAAAAGTCCTTAGGGGCCATGGGCTGCTGCTTTATAAGAGCAGCCATCCAGAAAGCCCCAGTGGGTGGTTATGGACCTGCCCACACCGAGACCCACCAGGGCCCAGGTGAAACCTGTCTGCAGGTTAAACAGCCCCAGCTGAGCCCTGGGAGCAGCCGGGCTCCTCCTGCAGTGGCTGCTCAGCCAGGCTGGGCAGGCAGAGGAGCAGAGGCAGCGGTGCTGGTACCGGTGCCCCGCAGTACCCAGCGGGGCAGTGAACTGCTGCCAGGAGGCATCTTGGTCAGTGCCTCAGTTTCTCTGCCTTGCACAGGGACAGTAACAGTCACATGGAGGTGGAGGGAGGGCTCAGCCCAGGGCACTGTTTGGGCTCCTGGTGCTGCCGGAGTGACAGGCAAAAGTCCTTCTTTCTGCAGAAGTACCCCTACCCCGATGAGAGACAGCAGAAAGAGCCCCAGGAACAGGGTGAAGCCCCGGGAAGGACCTGGGCCCCCTGGGGGGCGTGACACTGTGGGGCAGGACAGCCCATAGCTTCAGCATGAGATGGGGAAGGAGGTCCGGGGTGAAACTCATCCCTGTTGCTTGAGCCCTGCATTGGGCAGCAAGTGGGAGGGCAACGTGGAGGTGAGGACACGGCTGTCAGCGCAGCGGGGGGCTAGGTCAGGGGGGTGGCTCTGCTGGGTGGGGGTGATGCCAGGGCACTGGGGGCTGCGGAGGGTGCTGTGAGCCAGGAGAGGTCGATCCTGGGAGCCTGACCTGCCGACCTTCATCCCATCTGTCCAGGCATGGGCTTTAGCTGATGTTTCTCTGTGCCCCGTGGCTACAAGGACTGGCTGGGGGCTCGTCCCCAAGGCCACCGGAGCGCCCGAAACAAC